GGATCTCGCTATGCCGCTCAAGCTGGAATACCTTCTTGAATAAATGCCCAAACCAATTCTAGGGCAGTTTTCTAGCCACCTGTGATGAGTTATTCTGTCTTTTAATATTCTCAGTAGGCTGTTTGACAGCTGCCCCAGTGGCCTAATGGATAAGGCACTGGCCTCCTAAGCCAGGGATTGTGGGTTCGAGTCCCACCTGGGGTAAGACAACACCAACCTTTGGTGACCTGGGATAAGACAACCATAACCTTTGGTTGTCCAATGATACTTTATAAAGGACAAAGCATAGAGACACACAGGTAGAAAAACTTACAAGAATAAGAAAAGGCATGAATTTGGAAGAAAACCAGGGCATTAAACTCAAAGACACAGAATCTCTCAATCTTTCTCTCTCTCTCTCGAGGATGAGGAAAAAGGTAGGGCATGGTGGTGCATGCCTGTAATTCCACTTTTGGAGGCCAAGATGGGTGGATCACTTGAGTTCAGGAATTCAAGACCAGCCTAGCCAATATGGTGAAACCCTGTCTCTGCTAAAAACACAAAAATTAGCCGGGCATGGTGGTGCATGCCTGTAATTCCAGCTACTCGGGAGACTGAGGCAGGAGAATCACTTGAACCCGGGAGACAGAAGTTGCAGTGAGCTGAGATCGCACCACTGCACTCCAGCCTGGGTAACAGAGCAAAGCTTTGTCTCAAAAACAAAACAAACCAAAAAAGAACCAGGAAAAGGTCAATTTGAGGACAGGTAAGATCAAAATGCACATGCTCTGCAGAAGGGAAAGTCCCTACTGAAGCTAGTTTGCTCGAATGACCTCAATTACAAGGTGAATGCTGAGGCTTACTGTGTTGACTGTGTGGTTACCACAGCAGCTGTGTCCCAAGAACATGGTCACTTTCTTGACTACCTATCCTGCTTCACGAGCATGACAGGTGTGACCCACCATGCCTGACCAATGGCATTAATTACATTCACAATGTATGCAATAATCACCATTATCTCTTTCCAAAACCTTTTCATTTCAAACAAATTCTGTAACCATTAAGCAATAACTCCCCACATCCCTTACCCAGCTGTTAATAACCTTTAATCTACTTCCTGTCTCTATGGATTTGCCTACTCTAGACATTTCACATAAGTAGAATAATACATTATTTGTTCTTTTGTATGTGGCTTCTTTCACTTAGCATAGTGTCTCAGGGTTCATCTACATTGTAGTGTGTGTCAGTGCTTCATTCCTTTTTTTTTGAGACGGAGTCTTGCTCTGTCGCCCAGGCTGGAGTACAGTGGCGCAATCTCCGCTCACTGCAGGCTCCACCTCCCAGGTTCACACCATTCTGCCTCACCTCCTGAGTAGCTGGGATTACAGGTGCCTGCCACCACGCCCGGCTAATTGTTTTGTATTTGTAGTAGAGACGGGGTTTCACTGTGTGAGCTGTGATGGTCTCAATCTCCTGACCTTGTGATCGGCCCGCCTCGACCTCCCAAAGTCCTGGGATTATAGGCTTGAGCCACCGAGCTGGCCTGTTATCAATTCTTTTGGGTACAAACCTAGGAATGAAATTGCTGGATTGTATGATAATTCTATGTTTAGCTCCTGGGGGAACCACTCAACTGTTTTCCCCAGCAGCTGCATCATTTTACATTCTCATCAGCAATGTAGAGCTCTAGTTTCTCTACATCCTTGCCAACACTTGTCATTTTTGTTTGCTTGTTTAATGATTGCCAAATATGTGGGGGAAGAGGGGAACTCCTATCCTCCTCCATCTAGTCCTGGTGATAATGTCCATCACTGGATTCCCACATGGAATGGATTGAGTTCATGATCCAGAATGATGTTCTCCGTTCTCCCATGCAGAATGGTTGGTTCTGGTTTGGACACATGACCCATGAAGGGATGATCACAGCTGTACCTGGAGTTGAGGTTGGAGGCAGGGCTTGGACACTGGACCAAATTGAGGAGTAGCTAAAATAGATGGGGTGGAAGCAGCTTTCCATAAGATATACCCACCAGTGTGCCATGTCAGTTTACCATTGCCATGGCAACACCCAGGTGTCACCACCCCTTTCCATGCAATGACTCAATGACCCAAACATTACTACCCCTTCCCTAGAAAGTTCTGCATAAACTGCCCCTTATTCTACATGTACTTAAAAATGGGTATAAATATGGCTGCAAAACTGCCCAGAGCTGCTACTCTCAGCATACTTATGGTGGAGCCCTCCTCTGCAACACCGCCTGCTGCTTTAGTACAGTTGTTTTCTTCTACCACTGGCTCGCCCTTGAATTCTTTCCTGGGCAAAACCAAGAACCCTTGCAGACTAGGCCTCACTTTGGCGCTCGTTTGTCCTTCATCAGTATAATGTTATTAATAAATAAACATTGGTAGAGAGAAGTTTCATGTGCCCTGTGGCTGCTAGTCTGGAAGGATGTGAATTTGGAGCTACTGGTGGACATCTTGCTGCCTCAAGAGGAGAGGTAATCTGCAGAATGAAGCTGAGCAGAAGCCAAAACAGTAGTGAGATAGAGAAATACAGGGTCCTGATGTTATTATTCAGATCCCTGAATTTGGTCTTGCGTGAAACACACAGGCTTTGCAAGAAGACGCTTTGGATTTTGTAATGATATTAACCTGTCATTTCTCCCTAGGCTGATGATTTGAGTTGGTTTTCTTTTTTTTTTTTTTTT